AAAAATAAACAAAATTTAAAAACCTTATTCTTTTTTGAGGCTGTTAGGGTAACAAGAGGTGTAATAAAAATTATATTTTTTTTTTTTTTTTTTTTTTTTCCGTGTCCGGCAACGGATCGCAACCCTCAGTGTCGCGCCCGCACCGGACCGGGACCGGCAACGGGATCGCAACCCTCGGTGCTGCTCCCACACCTCGCTCAGCCAGTGAGCGGGAACCGGTCTGTATGTGGGATCTGAACCCTCAGCGGGAGCGCCACCACGCTCCCAAGCGGCGCACTGCAGCAGTGCGCCACCGGGCCGGCCCCAACCAAATTAATCTTTAAAGCCCTGTTTCTACTTTCTGCACCATATTGTAAGGCAGCATGGTATAATACAAGGGTTCTTGACCTGGAATAATATACCTGTAAGGCAGTCTATGTAATCCTTGAAACTTTTTGCAACATTTTGAGTGTACGTACATCTTTAAGGGTTATGGTTCACAGTTTTAAATATTTTCTCATAAGGGCAATTCACTAAAAAAGAACTGCATGAATGTAAAGTGCACTTGGATCCCAACCACAGTACGATCACCAACTTGCTACATGACTGTGGGTAACCTGCCCCAGCTACCCTTACCATGGACATAAATTTTCTCAACTGCAAAATGAGGGATTTAGATTAGATCTCTAATGTGTCTTCTAATTTGAGCAATCTATGATTAATTAATTCTAAGCAACAGAATATTAAGCATAGTGGCATCTGATTTTGAAATACTTTTGGGCAGAAAGAATTTTTTTTTTTTTTTTTTTGTCTTTTTTTGTGACCGGTAACAGGAACGCAACTCTCGGTGTTGCGCCTGGACCGCGCTCAACCAGTGAGCGGACCGGTCTCTATATGGGATCCGAACCCTCGGCGGCGCTCCCAAGCACCACCGGGCTGGCCCAGAAAGAATTTCTAAAGTCCTTCAAATCACAACACATGGCTACTGCCAACCTATAATCCCAGACCTAGTTTTTAATCCACTACAAATTTAGTAACCAGTTCCACTTGACTAGTCCTGATGGTTATATAAACCACCCCCCCAAAATGTGGCATCCTATTAACTAGTATTAACAGTAGCTGTGACAAGAACAAAACACATGTCATTAAACATAATCTATGGAACACAGTTCCTTTTAAAAGGCATTTGTCTAAAGAGAAGAGAACATTCCAAAGTCATTTTAAGAGAAGTCCATTAGAAATGCAGAGATTCTTCCCCAAAGAGTTTCAATCAAACCTCCATGTTTTTAAATACAGAGTTAACATGTTACTATGGCATAAATTCATGAGCAGTACCAGGAGGATCTAAGGAATTCCTGGAAAGGAAAGCAGGAAATCGGAAAGAAACAGAGAATTGGACTGGTTGTAGGCCACACTTACCACCCACATTGCTTTTATGCTTATCATAGATTTCTCTCACTTTTCGGTAGCGAAAAGCCAGTTTCCTCATCCAGTCCACACCTCCCTGCACACCTACAGAGGAACCATGGCTGCCACTGCCTCCTGAGCCACTGAAACCATCTGTTGAGAAACTGTAGTTGCTGCAAAGAGAAAGAATAATGGAAATTAAAATCTATACAGCATGGGGTTTTTGGTTGAGTGCCCCCTGGGATTCTCTGTCCTGTTCCTGGTACTTGATAAACAAAGCTAATGGCTTTAAGAATTTTCTCCCTTAATTTTTGCTGTCAGAGTCTATCTTTCACTTGTCCTCTATCTCACCCCATCACTTCTATCAAAGAAAGGACTGAGAGGGAAGGAGAGGTAATTCAAGCACCAGCATCTCCCAGATGTTGGACTGGGATAGAGCATCTTTTTCATTAATGACAGAGAATAACATGCAGTGAAAAAAAGTGAAATATAAAATTTAGTGTGCATACACACATACACACATTGATTGCAACCATGTAAAAAGGAGGAACTTGTGAAAAAATAATGGAAGGAAATTATCCAAAATGCTAATAAGGGTAAAATAATGGCAGATGTTTTTCTTCAGTGATCTGTTGGCTAGTTTATTAAGTTCACGGGTCAATGTAGTGGCTTCACAATACGTCCATGAATTCTTTGAGACTCCTCTCTTCTAATTCTGCTCCCCCTGGCTATGGGATAAACTTAGAATAAGCTTCCCCATGGAAAGGCACGTGTAGTAAGAAATAAGACCTCCTATCATCAGCCACATGTGAGAGATTGGAAGCAGGTCTTCTAACTCCAGGCAAGCCTTCAGGTTATTATAGCTCCAGCCAACACTTTGATTTCAATCCCAGAGACTGTGATTAAGAACTATCTAGTGAAGCCGCTTTCAAATTCCTGACCTACAGAAACTGTAAGATGATAAATGTTTAATAATTTTAAGCTACTGTTTTGGGGTAATTTGTTATACAGCAATAGATACCTAATACAGTTATACAAACTAGGAAGGATTAATACTTGATAAGTAAAAATATTAAAATAACAGAATTAAAGACAATCTGATTCAATCGAAAGTCAAAACAGAGTTCAATATGTTAAGTGTGAGATTCTATATTTAAGAAAATAAAGCTGCCAAGACATAGATGGGTAATTACTGGTTAGCCACATGTATAAAAGATAAAAAAAAAAAAAAAAGAAAACACTGGGGTTCAGAATCATAAACTGCTACAGACCATGCTTTTTTCCTAAAAAGATCAATAAAGTCTCAAAAGAATGGTGTGCTCCATGCCTACTCAATGCACAATATGCAAAACTGAATGCTGCTCCTAAAAGTGAAACCTTTCAATCTTCTCTGCACTATATGATTAGGTCCTTACTAAGGTGATATGTACAGTTCTGCTCTGTATTTCAGAATTCATGAATGGAACATTTAATTTTAGGGTAGTCACAGGGAACAATATTTTACCTATGAAAAGCGATAAACATTAAAACAAACTAACATGGGGCCAGCCCGGTGGCGCACTGGATAGTGCGCCGCTTGGGAAGCGTGGCGGCGCTCCCGCCCGAGGGTTCGGATCCCACATACAGACCGGTTCCCGCTCACTGGCTGAGCGAGGCGCGGGAG